TATAATTCAGTCATCCTACTCTAAGAGCTTTTGAATTCAAAGGAACACGTGTGGAGAATAAATGTTAGAGACTACAGGCATCTACGTTGTTTGACAGCTTCAGGAATCCCAGCCCTCAACCAGACATTCACTTTTCAGACTATTTCCCAGCCTCATTACACCTCACGCGCTGTCTAAAGGGTACAGTCTACCTCAAGCTGGAAGATCAGATCTCTGCAGCCCACTGTACAGACCAGGTTTGATGGTTCCTGTGCTTCTCCCTTTGACAGTCATTGCAGCAACTAAGCCTGCTGCTGCTTCTCATGCACTGCACCAGAAATAGCATCTTAGACTGCCCACGTACGGAGACGGTCCTGGTAACTAGCAAAGCAAATATCAAGGATGATCAGGTCCTTGTTATTAAATGAGTTACCTTCCAGATTATTAGCATCACCACAACCTATCATCCAGACAGTCGAGAGAGTTCTAGCTTTTGTAATTTGTTCCCAACTGCCTGAGACATCAGGAATTGCACAGATACTTTGTACATTTCTTTTGGCAGCTCCAGGCCTGGCACATGCTGTCTCTGCCAGTCCCACCCAGAGATCCAGGCAGCTGATCCAGCTGGCTCTAGGCAACACCAGGACTCTTTAAGAGTGTTCAATGCAGGCCTATTAAAAGCAAAAAAAAAATTAACTCTGCTCATAAACAACAGATCATGAGATTATTTTTTGTTTAATTTGTTTATACTGGTCATTAGCCACTCTCAGTGTTGGACAAACAATGCACACAGTTGTGGTCACTGCTTCCCAGAGGATCCAATGGAACCAGGAAAGGACCAAAATAGCAGCACGAGTCAGTGGTGCTCTCATGTTCAGGGAGGTCAAGTAGCTGAGGTCTCCAATACAGGAAAAGATAGAGACTCAAAACTATAAACATGCAGGAAAAGGAATAAATTATTTCCCTGATCTCACAAAATCTAATGGAAAACCAATGGAAATCTCAGGTAGCTAGTGAGGAGGAGGAATAAGCAGCAGCACCACTCTTCATGGTGTGTAGCTGAATCATGAAATCTTTTGCACAAGATATGATGAAACCAAAATTATAAGCAGGCTCCAGAACATGTAGGAGGAGAGTCCCCTTATAACTCTCAGTTTAAAAGCCAAGAGACCCATCTTCCCATGAATTCCAACAAGAACAGATCTGAGCCCTGAAGGTCCTGAATGCAGGTTTGCAGGTCCAACGGTAGGAGCCTGGATGCGGGGAGGGCTCTGTTTCCAGAGCAGCAATAGAAAGTAAATAAATTCCCCTGATCTTCCCTCAAGAACAGTGCATTAAGGTTGTATATTTCCAGCCCAGTTGGGCATTTGCCTTTTTTTTTTTTTTTCCTTCTTTTTTTTGGTGATTTAGAGTAGCTAACGGGTGATGCGATCATAGGAGCAAACACGGGCCCATGCAAACGTGAAAAATAAAATGAACAGGAGCAATAAACTACATGTGTCTCCATAACAGCAACAGGCCCATCACAGCAGGGCACATCTCCTCAATGCTCATCTACAACTGGAAGAGTTTATAAGAAATAAATAAAAATAAATTACGGAGAGAAGAAAATCTTCCAGGAAGCAGCAGTCTATTATTTTCCCAGGCCTTTATTAGCAGTGGATCCACAGGCTTTCTTGGAAGAAAATGAGAAAAAGCATTGCAGCTCTGCTGTCAAAAGAAACCAGGGGAGTATTTGCTAGAACAGCAAGCCAAGCTTTTCAGGGCTACTATCAATTAGTTTCCAGTTTAGCTCAATAGGATATTGATCCTGGTCACATATAACAGAACCCTGGTTTATTTTCTGATTAACAAGTTTGACTGTTAGATTTTGACAAACAAGATGTCCATCACTGCAGAAAAAAAACAGCCGTATTTATCAGTAATAACAATATGAAGGCTTTGCGTAGAATAAGCTGGGGAGGGGTGTGTCAAAAAAAGCAGGTGTGGGAAGGGTTACTGCACGATCACTTTAACATTTACATAAGGGTAAGTTCAATTAATGCAGAGTCTTCCCCCACAGCCTCCTCCAAAACACACTCAGACACTGGCTGGCCTTCTTCCTATGGAAACAGCCAACGAGAGCAAAGATGCTCTTTGCTTTCATGGGTATTTTAGTTAAAAGCTGAAAATGAGATCAAGTTTTCTGACATTTGCTATCTACCTTAAAAACGTGCACCCAACAGGATTAGCAGGTGCACAACCCTGCGTGTGATATCATGAAATGCATTCCATGTTCTTTCACGTTTGTATGGAAAAAAAAGAAATCAAAATCCCTCTGTAATATTGAAGATCAATGTGAAACTGAGCTTAGGAACCAAACATCAATTGCTGCCTGCGAAACATGAAGTAACATATTCAAGTAGGAATCTTGTACATATGGCAAAGGAAAGCTTTTGATATTGAGTAGTAAAATGATGCTTCAAAACCTGATGTCCTACATAACTGTATTTGTAAGAGCACATAAAGCACAAGTTCAGCACGGTCCTTCTTTATTATTCTTTGACGAATTACAGAACCTGGCTTGATTTTTATTTTATTTTTCCAACAGATCTGCGATCACTTTCCATAGAAAGGAAAATTAAAGCACCAGTTGTGCTACCACCTCCCTGGAGAAGCAGCCAGGGCTGCTAGCAGTGAGTGTTTTTCCTCAGCAGCCTGCCTTCAAAGTCTAAAAGCAGAAATACCAAGCTGCTATCTATCTGCAGCAAAACCCTCACTCAGACTTCCCCTTGAGGAGCAGCTAGCCAAGCAGGAAAGGCAATGGGTGGCTGAAAGGGTTTCTGGTCACTGAAGGAAGCTTAAAGAAAGGAGAGTCTGCTTTCTAGCACAGACCCATGGCAACACAGCAGTGAGGTAAAACACAAGGATCTAGGAAATTCAGAACAAAACACAGCAGGCTGCAGAGAAAATACTAATTTAACCCTGTGTTAATCTGCAGATCGTTCAATCTCATTTCTCTACTGCAGGTCCCCCCACATCATTACTGGATTTGCAAATACAGCCCCCAGATTCAGAAAAACATTCACCTAACCAAGCACACCTGGTGCTTTTGGTGGGGCCAAACACCAACACTTGGTCACGAGCTCAAGAATGCCTCAAGAGCTAAATCCAGCCCTCAGTTCACAGGATTAGAGGGCTGTGGGATTCCTCACTGGAGCAAACCCTTGAGCTTGGTGCCGGTTGGTTTTCACATTGCCTTCCCCACACTGCCTGCCTGGTGGGAAGTCCATGTACAAGACAGCTTCAATACAGCCCAGCTAGCATCACCATTGGAAACCAGAAGCTTTGACATTAACAGGATTGTACTTCAAAAGAATACGCATGTTTGCAGATAGCAACAGGGTTCCTTATTACAGCTGTCTAATCAAGCCGATATTCTGCAATTATACTCTGAGATCAAACAGCACTGCAAACAGCACTTGCAATAAAACTGGCACCAGAAGGATGCCCGTGTCACGCCTATACACTGAGCCTTCAGTTGTGACTCCACAAGCATGGCACACGCGCTCAGTTTCAGGTGCTATTGCAGAATGTTGAAAGTTTCAATCGCAGCCAAGTGTTTTTTAACTAGACATATTTTGATCCTTGGGATGTGTTTATAAAAAAATAATAATAATAATCAGGTAAAATCCAGTTAAATTGCTTTAATTTGGGGCACAGAACCATTGGAGCCAGCCAAGTTCAAACAGATACTTGAATGTTTTGCTGTGGGACGAACTAAAGCAAGTTCTTCCCAGAACCAGGGCCTTAGTTTTGGTGGTTGGCTGGCTGGGTTTTCCATTTGTTTCCTTGAGCACACAGGAGGGCACATTGCAAACAAGAAATCAGAACGTACTGTTGGTGCAAATAATTGTAGCATCTATGCTAATTCTTTTTTTAATCCTGATACCCTGTGTGCTTCTAAGTATGTAAATCTGATTCTCCTTGTGGCTCCACTGAAGTTTCTATTGATTAAATACCCAGCCCCAGCAGCAGGAGGATCAAGCCCTGCGTATTTATTTTCTTCCTCTCAATACATACAGAACTCCCTTTGGCCTCTCAATTGCTGTATCACATGGTGTGCTGAATGCAAATAGAATTACAGTGCTAATGCACCCAATGAATATATTTGTATATGCGTGCCAGCATTCTCTCCTACCAGCATCCTACTGTACACCACTAAGTAGACCAAAGAATATATATTCATCACACCTGGCAGGTTTGTGAAATGAGTGCATATGGGTAACAAGAACCAGTGCTCACTCTTCTCAAAGACAAACTGAGATTCCAAGATGAAGGCTGCAAGATCAGGACCTCATGCAGACCTTTGTAAACCCTGATGTTCACAGTGGAGTACAATCTGCACAAAGTAAGAGTTACTTAACGCTTGTTAAACACAGAAATTGTTGCAATGTGTAACAAGACAATGCCAGCATTTCCCAGAAATAAATTAGTGGTGTCTCTTCAAATAGGACACAAAACACACAGACAGCATTTTCAACTACAATCTTACCAGACATGCACCCTCTTTGAATTATTTTCAGCAACCTTGTTTTACAGCAAACTAAATTCATCCCTGTAGAAGCTTCACTGATTTCAGAGCAATAATATCTTAAAGATGGGATGCATTTAATTTGCTGGTTCACTCTACATTGACTTTTGAAGTCAGCCTGTAACGTCAGAAGATAGATTGATTTAAATCAGGTTCAAGTACCTCGTGGCAATTAGAACCTGCAAAGCCTGAGAAATGTCAGTGAGTATTCGGATGAGTTACATGCCAGCATGTATACAAATAAATCTCCCCAAAGTCTCACTGCAGTTGGTTCAAACAATGCTTTGAAAGTGACTCACTCTGCTCAATAATCATCATTTAAAGACAGTAACTGCAGTTTTAAAGCAATGTTTCACCACAGCCACTTCCACTCTAACCCATAGTTTAAAAATAATGCAAACCAAAACAAGGCTGTCCCCTAAATTTACAGCAAGAGGAGGTCACTTACCCTGTGAGGACCACAACGAAATCCATCACGTTCCAACCATTTCGGAGGTAAGAGCCTTTGTGAAAAACAAACCCCAGAGCAATGATCTTTATACCAGCTTCAAAACAAAATATTCCAATAAAGTACGGCTCAGTGTCATCCTGCAAAGAACAAAAAGCAGAAGTGTCAAAGATACCCACATGACTGCACTTGCCTCGACAAATGTAGGATAAATATATGCACCAACTTCCCATTCTTTCCAGCTGTGGACAGAGTTAAAACCAAAAGGTTCAAATGTATTGAAACCAAGCGTAAAGAAGGATTTCAGAATTATTCTTCTGAGGATAAATTTGACTTTTTACATGGAAAATTCTATTTGCCTTTGTTCCAGTGGTTTCACCCCCTACTTTTCACAATTACTCAAATTCCTGGAAAGAACTTTAATACTGAAATCTTGCTCCAGGCATACATCTAAATGTGAAACCACATTTCTATAGTTACTGACATGGAAGAAAACACGTTTCTGTTTCCTGGATGAGCTATAAAGACAAACCAGAGTAATCTGAGGAAAACAAACTTACAAACATCACCAGGAAGTCTTTTATCATTTATTCCATCACTTCTTTCACTCTTTCTGCTTCACATTCCACAGCTTCAAATCCATCTACTTTTGTTCTGTTGTGTGTCTGATTTGGGGACAAAACCTAATTTCCTTCTGTTAATAGTGGAAGCAGAAAGATTTTTGCCTAGTGCCCCATTGAAGCTAAGACTTCATACCCTAACCCAATAAAGAAGAGAGCAAGTTTAGAGCTTTATTAAACTTCCTTTCCATCTTTGGCACCAGATCCATCAATATTATATTGATCCCTTGATATTATATTGATAAGAGTTTAAAGAAATTCATTTCTAAAAGGAAGCATTCACTGTTGGAAAAAGAGATGTCAGCAAAAAACAAGAGCAAAGGAAAAGGTGAAAGCACCAGGTGTCAATTTCAAGAGCATGCTAAGCAGCTTCAGCACCTGTATCCAATTTTCACACATGCCTTAGATCCATGATTTAGCTTAAGGTAATGGAAGTGAGGCAGCCCTACTTAAAAGGAAACAAACTACCAAATTAGAGAATTGCTGTTACAGTAGCTTTGATAATTCTGATCAAGAGTTGAGCTTTGGGTGCAGTTATTTATATGTTGCAGTTCTGTTCATGTCAAGAAGTAGTTCATTTTGTGCAGAAAGAACGTGAGTGTCAACTCTTTGTGGCCACAACAAAGAAAGGAGCAGTTTTGACACAAATATTTTGCAGACACAGCACCACAGCTTCAACCCAGCGCTGGCACACAGACCATGCTTTAGGTATGATGCTTGTTACAGAAAGCCAGCTTTTCTCTTACAGAACAACATGATAGCACACCCTTCCCAAAGAGCCTTGAACACTGATCACGTTGATGTATACCCAACTCAGAAAATCAATCACAAAGCAATAATCCCTGAGGGTAGCTCTGAGCTGTTGGAAATACCTACATGCAGACAGGCTTTTCCATCAGCATCTGAATTAAACTTTTGTTTCCTACCAAGGAGAGTCCTGCACCCCTACACACATCTCAGTGACACAAGACCCCTATATCCTCCATGCTACAGCATCTCTAGTCCCTTCTACCTTTCTTAACCTCACTGCTCCCCCTCCTATTCCCCTGTGGCCAGGCAAGAAAGGAGAGAGATCTGAAATTATCGTACATGGTTTAAGGAGAATCTACCTTACCGCTCCCTTGGCTTTCCTTTGTGATCACAGAGCCACTCTTGGTGCCTAGGCTGCCTGCTCTTCAGCCCCACAACACCTTCTAGATCAACAAACACCTACAATCTTCACAAAACAAACCCCCCCCCCCCCCCCAAGCCATCCTTCATTTCCAAAACACATCTAATAGTGGATCTCTAAAAAGAGCTTTTCTACCACATCATAAAATAAATATTAAAATTCCCCCACTCTGAATGCACTCCCTGCTTCACTTCCTGAAAGCTCTGCATCTACTCTGCTACTAGTCATACACTATCTGGGTCAGATGCCTTGTGGTTACAGCTCCCATCTTTAAAGGACCGGTGTTCAGGTACTCGAGGGTTTTATAGAATATGTTTTTTCCCAAAGTCAGGAGTATACAGAGCTGTTAAGAATTGGGTCAAAAAAGCTCTTATCAACATCTAAGAAATCAGGAAGGATCACATATGGGCTTGGGTATTTATTTAATAAAGAAAAAAAGAAAAAAAAAAAAAGAAAAACAAAAAACAACTATTCACAACATTGATGAGAGTGAGTAGCTGAGGAAATAAGAGGGCATAGAAAACTGATCTTTTCTAAAGCCTATCTATATTTACACTAATTCAGCCTAAGAATCAGGTCAGTAGCAAGGATAGAATTAAATACAAAAGTGATGCCCCTCTAGGTAGTAGGAGCTGCTGCTGAAAAAATGGATTTGCATTAGTGTGTGTGATGGAAGGATGTGGAGTGGGTGACTTGCCCTGAGCAACACTGAAACAGCACTGCTGTCAATTGAAAAATCCTGCTTCCAGCTCATCCTGCAGCCCCTTGCAGATAGGGTACTGGGGTCTTGCTTGAATTCAGGTTTAGGGAAGTAGGAGATTATAAGTATGGATGTGAATGCTTAGAAAGAGGGTGGAGAATTTGGGCAGCAGCCAGAGCTGTGCCAGCAGGTTGTTTGCTGTGGACACAGCAGAGCTTGAGTCTGGGCCAAACACACATTTAATCAATATGTTTCAGATCAGAAACAACTTCTATGTCTGGGAAGTCATTACTATTCCTAGTCCATTTCCTAATGTCTTTCGTTGGCCTTCAGATGTGACAGCCTTAATAGATTTGGGTGTGTAAGCCTTTGTTCATGCAGAGCGTAATATGAACTGCTCATATATGGCTGCACGAAGTGCCAGTGAATAGGTTAAAGAATTAAATCCATTAGGCAAATGAAGGATCTGTCATGCTGAATATCTGAGAAAACAATTATGTTCCATCCTCACATCAAAACCAGCCAAACACTAGGAGCCCTACAGTGAAACACACATCCTACAGACCCACTGATGTCTTCAAGCAGGCTGTTCTGCACAAGAGTAGAGCAGAAAATAAGTTTCTCATCCTGTTAGTTCAAATATTGTGTCTATTAGGCCGAGAAAAATTCATGGTCTATAGAAGCTTCACATGAAAAAAAAAAAAAAAAAGAAAAAGAAAAGAAATTAGCAGGACAATGGAGAGCAAAAATGAGCACAAGCACACCTCAGGCTGGACAGCCAAGGACACAATGGCCAAGGCATCCACCTGCAAGGTCATTCAGGCTTCGATTTGAAGCTCACCTTCCCACATCTGGAGCTCTCACCATCAGGCTCTGGGCCACTCAGTGCAATTCCCTCAGCATATTTTATCCTGGCATTGCTCCAAAGTGTATAAACAATGCAATATTTATTGGAACATAGTGAAACTGCCTCTACAAACTATTGGCTAAGGCATTCAGCTGAGACAGAGAGCAGTAAGCTTGCAGCATTCCTGCTCCAGTGGATAATTACTGATTTGAAGTAAAAACTTCCAGCAGCCAAAGAATGCCAAGCTCCCAGACCAGCACAGGCAAGAGCCTAGGGAGTAAAGCATTCCCCTTCCAGTGGAAGCGTGAGCTTATTTCTCTTGTCTGAAAAACAAGAATTTGCAGGCAAGGTTCCAGCTCACTTCTAACTGCTTTAACCACCAGACTGACGTACTTTCAGAGCCTTGATTTTCACTCCCATTCTAGTGTCACTTTTTCCACTGATAGACACGAGGTACATTTCTGCCCAAACAATTGGGTTTTGACAAAGTTTCCATACATTGCTTGTGTTTTTCCTGGATTTTATTAGCAGACTGCTCCCCAATCTTAACTTGACAGAACAATAAGACTATATGCTTCCATATAAACCTCAGTTGTCCAGAAACTTCAGACCAAAAGAGCTAGAAATTAACCTAGCTAGTCCAGGGACAAAAGAGGCATCAACAGCTTTTCTGTCTCACAAACTACATACTGAATATGAACTAAAAAAGATTACTTATAATTCAGCCGTTCCAACTCTGAAATATTGCATATACCAATATATCACTCACTCTTCCCATGTATTCAATTAACCTTGCTTGTCAAGAAACATGAGCATGGAAAGCAAATTGAGATTGCACTGCAGGATCGTATCTTGGGTCCCTGGGGAGATACATTGAGGAAAATCTTGATTAGAAGAGAAAAATAATGAAAATATTTGCGAGGATTCTTCCTTCATCTTTTTCTCGACTTTAACAAACAGATGATCTTAAGATCCCTTGTCTTTCTATCTGTGGTGCAAAGTATTTGAGCAGGTTTTGTTTTCCTTCAAAACCTCACCCCACGTCTCTCAGTTGTAAAAGGCTGATGACATACATCTCATTCTTAACATCTGATTAACTCTTCAGCAATGAATCCACAGTCCAGTTTGGAGTTTTAATGAACCCAGGAGAAAGGAACATATAGCCATAAATCATTAGCCAAAAGAGGCCATTTCTATTCCTGCCAAAGACAGTAGTAAAGTACCTGGTGTTAAACGTGGACTTATAATCTGGCTCAAAAAAAAACCTGAAAATATGTGGGATGGTTTGGCCACTCTGTTTTAACAGAGAATTGTAACATTTTCAGTGAAACTACTCACAGTTTGTGGGACACAACAGGAGAATTCTAACGAGGCTTCGCTTTTAAAACCAGAATATAGTTCTTATTCACAATGCTTAATTTTTAAAGCACGTTTTGAAAATAGAAAATATCCTGATTTGTAAGGATCATCACTGTTATTCTACGCTAAACTCTTTAATACTGCAGTTACAGACGTGCTGTTGTTAAGATGGCCTCAGAATATGTGATTAAAATTCAATGCTGCACAGCTTTGTTTGGGGCAAAACTTGAGGGTTAATTCTTCCTTCATCTCCAAGGCAGAAGCAACAAGTTGGGTCCTATGCATTTAATTTGTTCAGTTATTTTACACTGCTGTTAATGACATTGCCCCACACAGTCGTGATATGGGCAGAAACCAAAAGAGGACATGGAAGCACAGAGCATTGAAAAACAGAGCTAATGCAATGGAGAAAAGAAGCAATAAATACCATCCTGGATCCATTTGTAAGTCTAGGGATACAGTGCAACTCAGACACAATGTGCTAACCATACCACCTCCTGCATGAAGTAACAAATTACCATAAGGTTACCAAGCCAGAATATTCACAAAACTGCCTTTCCCCTTCACTACTGCATATGTTTAAGATCCATGTATGGAACGCTGGAATTTTCCCAGCTCAATCATCATCCTAAATCTGTGCTTTGCTCACAAACCCACATTTGCCTTTCTATCAGATCCCCAAGCATACAAAACACATTGTCATCTAATGAAAAAGTTCAACACATTTTTCATTTTTTTTCATCAATACATCTTAACTACAAATCACAGAATCACAGGACTTGGAAGGGACTTCTGGAGATAATCTAGTCCAACACAATAATAATAATTAATATTAAAAGTGACTAGAATACAATGTAAATAGGCAGTCAGTCTATTATATATGCATCAGCAGATACATTTCCAAATAGGCAGTATCAACCAGCTGAGCCTGAAGTTCATTCTAGATCTCTCAATTACACACTTTTTTTTCCTCCTGTTTTCTCTTTACTTCTGTTTTGAAGACTGAAATTGTGAAAGTTGCCCACTGTTATGGACCAGACTTAGAAACTGTAGCAACCAGCTTTCAGAGGTTCAAGCATTTGACTAGAAGGATAATATTATTGTTGTTTCAATAATTTAATGTCTACATGTAAAACACACGGAAATACATATTTATTAATCCTTTGAACATACACCAAGACTAATGAATTTAGACATGAAATATATTCCAGATCATTAACAGCAGGAGAGAAAAAAAAAAAAAAAAAAAAAAAAAAAAAAAAAAAGTCAGACCAAGTATTATCCATTTTTTCCTACAGCGATGATAAGTGAAAGAATGATTTTGAAGCTATTCTTGTATTTCCTTCTGAAATAAGGTAATTGAGCTCATTACCATAAAGCCTGCTGGTAAATTATTTTCCTCCGTAAGTTGATTTCCTTTTTGGCAGGGGAATGTAATATTCTAAACCCAAAGTTTGCTTAAAATGGTCCTTAATATACAGTTGTAGCTGGAAGACAGCTGAAAGACTCACGGGCCTAAAGGTTATTCTGTTCTAACACTTCCTCTGAAAATATCAAAGATGTTCATTTGATTCTACACATAAATCTGAGCAGCTCCTTCCTGTCTTGGTCTACATACAGTGCAAGTTTTCTCCTCTTTTGTTACGCTGAAAAGTCCCTCACTTTTCTTGGAATTGCACAGGATTGGCTAGCGTGATGAAGCATTCTTGTGCTTGTAGAATTGGGAGGCTGTAGTTCTGTTTATTGTCAATACCTTATTTGTTCTGTTTGTAAGTTCCATTTCTATTTGTTTACATATGGATCTTGAAAATAGATACAAGTACCCACAACACTGGGTGGCTGATTGCTTTTTGTATAAGACTAGAAGAAAAAAAATCTAAATAAATGAATAGAACTCACCAATCTCTCTGACATAGGTGTCTTGTCTCCATCCGGCAAATGTTGCTCCAGAGCCAGCACAATACAATTGGCTATGATTGTAGCTAAAATCATGTATTCAAATGGAGTGGGAACCAGAAGTTAAAGAAAAAAACCAAGATAGCACAAGAAGAACCACAATTAAACTCATTTATACCTAAAGCAATTAAGTTGAATGTTCAAAGATCTGTTATCTCTTTTGGAGACGTTTGGTCTCCTAGAATTTCTCAGTTCTTTTGGGGGTATCTTTGGAAAAAGAACAGGAAACTAGATCTTTGTGAAAGTTAGTGACCTACACAAAATCAGAGCTACTCAAGGTGAAGTGTAACAAGGATGAAGAAAGGAAAAAATAAAAAGTAAAAAAACCCAGAAAGCTATCTTTTTATCATTATTAAATGAGATTAATGACCCAAACTGAAACAAAACAAATAATATAGCTGTATGTCGTCTGCTGAGTTATTATTCAGAAATTTGTCATCATTTAACTTGCTCGCATCGTGTAAAGAAGTCATGGACTAAATAGTTCTATTTAGAGTGCCTACACAGGTCCAAACTGCTAGATTGCAACACCTGCTCCTGATGAGAGCAAAATAGTCAGTGCTCTATCGAAATGCAGAGGAGATCTTAGAGGAAAAAAGGCAAACCCAACACGGGGTAGCCTCTCGTTTCATGGATTCATTCTGGCCCTGAGCCGTTGCGAGTCTCGGAGCTCCGAGGGCGGAGCCGCGTCGCGGGCGGCAACGTTCCCCCAGCACGGCGGACAGCTCCGCTCAGCACCGCGGACAGTTCCGTACCGTACCGCGGGAACCGTGCGTCAAAACGTTGGGTCGCGTCCTTTTCAGCACCGTGGACAGCGCCCGATCGGCACCTCGAACAGCGCCCGTTCAGCACCGCGGATAGCTCCGTCGCTCAGTACCACGGACAGCTCCCGCCCTGTCTGCCCCCGCCCTCCTGGGCCGCATCTCGGCCAGGACCCGGCCCGCAGCCCGGCCGTGGGGACCTGCTGGTGGCTCTGTTGAGCCGGCTGGCTCCGCAGCGCCGTGGGCCCCCTCCCCGTGCTGTACCCTAACAGAGCAGTAGCCCAAGAGGCTAGAGAGGAATAGAATATATCTAGCCTGGCAGGAAATGCGATGCTTTGGCTGCCACTGGGGCTTTGGAGCTTGTTTATACATGCAGGGAGCAGAAATGGATAAGGTAGTATAGCAATGCCTGTGGTTTTATAATTCGGATGGAGAGATCAATATGCGTGTGTATTCAGGAGGAAAAGAAGTGCATTCATTCCACTGGTGTATTTTTTTCTGTTAGCCTCTTTGGAAGTGAAAGCTTGGGAAGACTAAAGAGGAGCCGGCCTCCATGGCAATTGAAAGTGTTGCTAGGAGGCTGGGAGAAGGCCTTCCTGATGTTAGCTCACAATTAATTGGTGTGTGTTCAAATGAAAAGAAAACAACCAGTTCCCTTGAGATCGCCAGTGTAATGCACTCCTGTACACACACGCACGTACACACACACATGCAATACATCTGCTCCCTGGTAACCTCAGTTAATCTTGGAAGAAGAGCCTACTTCCCTTTTCTCACAGCTTACAACCCCGCTGTGTGTATCATTACAAGCAAAGCCTCCTTCTAAGGAAGATATCTGCAGCTCACTCGGCCTGGAAGCTGGTTCTGAGACAGAAAGCATCTGCCCCTTTCACAATACAACAGATGAGCTTTCCCTCCACTTACTGCCTTCCTCTCTCACAAAGCTTCACTTTTTTGTTGTTGTTTTGTTTTTAGAACTGACTAAGCTTAGATTGGGTACTTCATTCAAAGTGATAAGATTCCTGTTGGTTCTAATGGATTCAGGACACAAGGTACTGAAAAAAAAGCTGCAATGGTTGTGTGGTGGGATTTCACAAGGTACCTTAGTTATCACTGTCTCTCCTATCAGTGCAGTTTAATGCTAAGGTGTCACCATTTTTATCTTACATTTATTCTCCTATTCAGAGTTAGAAATAAGAGTTGTAAGTCTCTAAGATGGAAATAAGAATTGGGATTCATTAGCAGGAATCTAACAAATTCATTAACATTTCATTTAAATTGTAGAAATACAAATCTATGCAACTATATATCTCACACCTAAATACACACTGGAATGCATGTATACCTAACACCCCTGGCACAGTCAAAAGCACACTCTGCTGCTTCCACAGAAGCATTTTCCTGTGATACCAAGCTACACAACTGCACATTATGTCAGACACAAGGATCTATGTCGCACATACCCATTACACACACTGGATCACACATGCAGGTCTATATTAGCAGCAGACACTCATCCTCAGCTGACTAGAGGGGTCTCAATCTCCACATCTCCCCCCTCCCCAGCTTCCCCACCATGCCCACACAGCCTCCCTGAAAGGATATGGCCATTCTGTTATTCTCTTGGCATATTTCCGTATAACATTATCTTCACTGAAGATGAAGAGGGATCTGTTGACTGTGAAGCAGTTCTGTTTGACAGGGATGGGATTGTAGAGAGCCATAGTCCGGGCCCTCTGAGCCATCGACTGCTTATACATCCTTTGGCCGGCTTGGGGGCCACCTTGCCGGCTGCTCCCTCTTCCAGCCCCGGCCGGCCCTCCACCTCCATAGCGTGTTGGTAGATCATCCCCGAACCGAGCCATTCTCTCAGCGCACGGAGCTGGGTGCTACAATCCAATCTGGCAGCCGAGACGAGAGGAAGACGCATCACAGCGCGCAGCACTTCTCCCTCCGGGGGCTTCTGTTGCGGGGTCGGGATTGATCGCACCAAAATGCACAGCTAGATTTTTAAAAAATAATCATCATCATCAAAATTCCCTTCCCTTCCTCCGCCCTTCCTCTTCGCTCGTCGCTGAGGCTGCCCGGATAGAAGGAAGGTGCCGATGCTCCGCTCACCTCCCCGCACAGGTGCCGCCTCTTCGCCCCGACCTCATGGCCGAAACCGCGGGGCTGACGCGGTCCCTTCCGCGGCGGCCGACGGGGTTCTGGGCTGAGAAGGGGCTGCGCCGCTGCCGTGCCCACCGCCGGAGCGCTCCGCCGTGCCCAGCCCAGGCCGGCCCTGCCCGGCCCCGCCGCATGTGATGCCCGGAGCCAATCGGTCGCCGAGGCTCCGCCCGTTCCAGTCACCGGCACCGGGAGGCGGGGAGGGAAGGAAGGAGCCGACCCGGCCCGGCCGCCACCTCCACCCCGCTAAATACGGTGAAACCGCGGCCACTCCCCGGAGCTGCGGAGGGGAGGAGGATCCGAGCGCCCCCAGCTCCGCGAACGGCCTCGCAAAGCCCCGACCCGGGGGTGCGGGTGGAGGGGTTGGGGAACAGGCGAGGCAGCCCCCGCGCCTGCGCGCCGCTGTCCAGATGTGCGCTGCCCAGCTCCTGCACCCGTGGAAGCTGCAGGGCAAAGCCCCCCCCCCCCCGGCCATTGAGATCCCTGGGGAAGAGAAATGGGGGGCTGCGGTTGCAAAAGCTCTTTTGAGAGCCTGACCCCATCCGGCCCCTGCAGGACAGAAGGGGCTGCAAGAACAAGGCACGTGGATAACGTGGTGCAAAGCTGAGTGCGGGCTGGCTTAAAACGGACAGCTGCATCCTGGACAACTCTGTATCCCCTTGTTTTGTGTTACTCTTGTAGAGCCCTGGGTACCTTTAATTCCATATTTATGGATGAAATCCTTTAATCCTGTTTATTCCAACACCCTCTATTGCTCCCATCCATCCCAAGTCAGAAAGCTCACTCCTTGTTCCTGAGGCACTCACACCAACCGTCACCACAGTAGCTGGTAAGGATAGCCTTCTACATTTAGGCTAAACCTGGAAGGGGCCCTCCAGAGAAGTCAGGGCTTCCAACAAGGGGACATTTTCACTTCCTCCCACTAAGGAAACCTTGGATTCTGCTGCTTATGAGTTTTTTGCCTTAGTCATCCAAGCTGTCTCAGCTCAAAACCAACCCACCAACTAGGCAAGACTGCAGCAACAACATCTGCTGACTTCAGGAGACAGTAAGAGAGTTTTCACAAATAAGGGCTGGCAACGTCCAAAAGGGTGACTCTCTAAAAGAAACCAGTTTCTTATGGAGGACTTTGGCATCTGAAGGGTTTTCTCACATTGCAGGATGGCCAGAAGATGCCCTTTGGAGGCAGCTGGTAACAACATTAACTCAAGGAGCTGTAGAAGGAAGCAGCAAGGGAGGAATGCACAGCATTCCTTGCTGCCTTGAGGGTTGGTTAAAGCCAGCTGAAGCCCTGGGCACAAGATCAGCGAGGCTGGCAAGGCTGCAGTTTGCCTTCCCACATATTTTTGAGAGTCTATGTGGCTGAAGAACATTAATCAGGACTTGCCCCTCAATCCCAGCTCTGCATAACCTGCAGATTGAATTGAACGCTGGAGTCATTGGTAAAAGCTTTGCCCGGAGAAAGAAGATGAACTCTTTGAGAAGCAGGGCCTCGCTCTTCAGCTACCACCAAGTTGCTCTGGCATCCACCAGACACCCAACCCATCCCCGGGTACAGATGAATATGCATTTCCTCATGTAAGTCATCATCTGTTAAGCATCACACTGAAGCTGATCCCCACAAATGGACACACCAGGGAAGCCACGTCATCTTTTTACCAAGGCAGAAGGAGGGTGCAGAGAGCTCACAGCTCATGGGCTGAGAAGAGTGGGAGGTGCTCTTTCCCTTTAGTTTTCCCTAAAAATATCATTTTCACCCTCACTGCAGTTTTCCTATAATGAATTTAGAAAAGCAAGTTCCCCCCAGCTGATTTATTTTGTCTAAATTCTTACTTCTCATCTTCTGGTCACTCAATCTAACATCCTGTGGTCTTATGCTATTCAATGGAGGAAAAGCTTGCTCTGTCAGTAACCACTGGAAAGAGAAATACCATTTTCAATAATCCCTCACCTCTACTGATAGCAATCAGCATCTGGAAAATTAAATATATTGGCTTACAGAAATCTTTGTTCTTGTATCCAGTAAGACAAAGGCTGGGGAACAAAGCACTGAAAATTAAAAAAAAAATAAAAATAAAAACAAGCAAACAAAAAAACCCAAGGAAATAAAACAGCCTTTCATATCAAATGGCACTGAGAATCAGGTATAACGTGGACTCCTGTGTCTTTTTCTCTCCTCCCAGAGCCCACAAGCCAGCAGCTCCCCAGTACAGCACTGCAGGAAGTCAGCAAACAGGCCAGTGGGGGTGTTTGTGACAGCTAGAAAATGGTGCAGTGTGGTGTGGTGTTGTTCTCTTACATCACTGCTTGCCCTTCTCTCTATCTGCATGCCCAGGATTTGTTTGGTGTTGCGTTGGGTTTTGTTGTTATTTTTCCCCCCCCACACACACCACAAGGAAGATCACAAAGATCTTAAGCTCTGAAATCCTTAAAGACAAGAAAGAGGTTGCAATTGCAGGGATTATTTAAGCTTTAGAAAGGGAAGCATCAGGATTTAGTTTGGGCTTCTTAAGATTATGAACAGAGCAGGGAGTTAAGAGACAACCAAAGAAATGAGAGCTCTAAGACAGGTCAGACATCTGTGGTCTGTCACTATAGGAGGGCAAAGAGCAATTTCATGGTGAATTCTAAAGATGGATTCGGTAATGAGAAACCCCTCCTAGTGAGACCTAAAGACAAAGGTGAGAAAATCATACGGCCCTCAGCTGCCTCAGCTTCAGCAGTGAGTTGTCCTCGTCTCCGAGCTGCTTTGCCAGGCAACCAAGCATTTCTCTGGACTTTCACCTCCAGACCAATCCTGAGGCAGGTGATGGCCTGACTGGAGCAGTGCTTCCATCTGGGCAGGCAGAGCTGCCTTGCTGAGACAATGGTGTGACATTTAGGATCTTGGCACATAGCTGCATCACCAGGGTTAGTAGTTGACAGGGACTCCCAGGACAGTCTGGATCCTCCTCTTTGAAATCCCCAATGTTGAGGAACACAGCAGCCACTTCAACCCTATGCAAACTGGAGCTCAGGACCAAGGTTATCACCAGATAGAGCAACTTCCAAGAGCACAATATTCCCACAGATGTACTAAACGACAAGGCTGCACGTTGCTTTCTATCCCATAGCAAAATCTGAAGCTCTGGGCCAAGAAAAACTGCTTACAGAGCTGTTCCTGGCCACTGACTTCTCTCCTCACTCACATGCATGCAATTTGCTCCAGCTGTGCTAGAGGAAGATCCTACTGTGATGCAGGTACAGAAAACTGTTAAAGGTTGTGCTCAAGTATGCCAGAAAATGCCAAATGGCATTATGAAAAAGACAGCGGAGGGAGGGCAGTGGGAAAGACAGACCGTTACCTTTCGTCAGCAATGCAAGGATAAAACAGCTATCAAAGGGAAAGAAAATACTCATGAAGACACAGCTCCTCTTATGCACATGTCACGATCCTGGTACTGCATGTAATACAAACAGTGCCCTGAGTCACTGGGATCCATTACCATCAGCTGCTGTGTTAATGTAGATTAAGAGAGACCCTGACCTGATTGCTCAGAGTTTGAGCTGGGAGCGTGGACAGTGAACACCAGACATTATTGCCTCTGACGTTGCTGCACCATATCTGAGCCCCAGCAACACCAGGGCTGTGCTTCCTCCTCAGGACAGCAAAACAACTTGCTCACATGCACTCAATTGCTCAGAGCAGAGGGACCTCAACAAGATGATGGACAGAAAGTGCTATTTTTTACATCAGGCTTCATACTTCAGTTCCCTCCAATATTTCCAAGATTGTTCTTAGCCCATTGATCTCAAAGACTGACCAGCCAGCAGGGAAAGGCTGCAAGATCACACCTCCTCTTCCATGGACTTCAATTCACCTGAGAACTTGGTTACCAGAGAAGGGAATTTGGTGAATGAGCCTGCCTTCCAGCACGTATCTGTCTGTGCTACCAAAATGGTTAAGCTCTAATCCTCATTAAGATTCAGGTCTGTCCCATGCTCAGGCTCTTCTGAAAATCTGCCTAGATGCTTCTCAGCACATCCAAATGTCACAACATTTCAAATCTGACTTCAGACAAAATTAAGTAATGTATCGGCTCGGCTCTGGGTGAACATCACTCTTGAAACCTGAGAGTGAGCAGCATCACAAGAATTGATTGAGCACCCTGACTCTTCTGGCCCGCTGATCATGAGCTAGATGGGTTGGCAATGGAAAGTCAGAGGTTTATGCTGTAGGAAATTAATCAGTCACTTACCCAGAGGTCAATGCAAGTTGAAGGCAGCTTGCTTCCAGGCTTCTTTCCACATGAAACCAGCAATGTGTACTTGTCCCACACAGATGCCTGCTATCAAGCCTGCAGTACAACATACACACGTCAAATCACACTGCAAAAGTAATCACAGTTCATTTTCATTCTTCATACTGAATACAGATTGATCAAGGATGAAGAGTACGTTGTCTTCTCCATGATGGGCAAGAGAAGATATTCAGGCATAGGGAGAAAAGATGCATAAAGGAATATGGAACACACAGGGAAATGGTTCCATGTTTGGTGTGAGGATAAGGTGGAGGAGGGCCCAGACTACTGAGTCTTCTCAAGTTTTGAAGACCTTGAGAGTAACACACCACAAAACCATCTTCTCCCCACATTGCAGGGTGGCAATTGTTGGTGACAGCCTGTATTATAAAAGCAAGGGAGATGACGGTACGATTTTT